TTAAATAATTTTATATTGTCATCAAATAGTTTAATCTACATCTAAAAAATATGATAGGATAAACATACTGTTTTGGATATTAATTAAATGTTACTAAACTGTATATAACTTAGTTACCACGCGTAAACTATAAGGACAAATCAAATATAATCAGATGATAAAGCCGAAGGTAAACACATTGTTTGTTTGGATAGTTATTGTTTGTGATTATTTTTTTACACAAATCTAAATTAGGGACGACTTAAAGTCAATTGGCAAATCTCTAAAGAAAAATTACAATGAAATGAACGACACAGCAAATGCTGAAGTGCCGGGTTATGTTCGATTCGGCATAGCTGGTTTAAGCGGGTAAGTATCCCATAAATGATCATTTGGCTATAATTTATTTGTACGTAGTGTTGTAAATGATAAATCACTAACTCCCAACATAAACGTGCCTATCGTAGCAATATTTCGTAATGTTGTAGCAATAAAAACTCTTTTCTGTCAGGATGGGAGCCACCTGTATTGTGCAGCCGTTAGACTTGTTAAAAACTCGCATGCAGTTGAGTGGTGAGGGAGGGAATGAACGAGTGTACAAAACATCTTTACACGCTCTGAGAACTATCGTTAGACAAGAATGTGTGCTCGGACTGTACTCTGGGTTGACGGCCAATCTGTTCCGACAGGCGACTTGCACATCATGCCGCATAGGGATATATCAAGTAATGGTAGATCATATGAAACAGTAAGTTCGAAGTCTACACGCTATACACACACCTTACAATAACTTTATCGTAGGAATTAATTTAGATCGTGGGCAACCAACTAGTTAAGTAGACTTCCCATCCGTATGGACCAGCTACATTTTTTACTCATAGTTTAATGAGCCGCTATAAGAGTATGTGATACAGTCTAAAAATATATATTCTCTAATCCCCGTTAGTACTGGTTACTGTGATGATTGAGGTGACATAAAAAATATGTTAAATCTTACAAAAAAACCCCTTTCAGTTTGGCTGGGTTATTTATTTATTTATTGAGTTACATGTCATTACATTATAATAACAGGACATATTGTCAATGGTTAAATAAAGACTTAAAACTAATAATAGATAAAACTAATACATCTGTATTTACATAAAACAACTGAATCTTCCCAAAATACAACATTGTTACATGACAAAAAAATTGAGCCAGCAGGAGTGTGAAGGTTTACTTATACCTAATTCCATCAGTCCTTAAAATAATCTGCCAATGAAAAAAAAGATTTAGTCTTGAGCCATTCTTTTAAATAAAGTCTAAACTTATAGGGATTTTCTAGAGTAATTAAACTTGTTGGTAAGTTATTTAAGATTTTTGGACCAATGTATTGTGGTGATCACTCGTGGTTAATATGTTGCCGTATTCAATATGAATACGGCACTATAACGATGATATGTTGGTTATTGTCTGTTTGAATTTACATACTGTAGTTCACTCTGTCGATAGCTTAAATAGACTAGCCTAAGTTAATTTAAATCTAAAACTGGTTAAAGTTTTAACATAGAGATAGTAGAATGTCTAAACCAATCAAAGGTAATGCAGATAAAAGTTTGTATCGAAACTATCCAATACCTCAGTGCTTGCATTTAAAAATTGAATTTATTTAGTATACACAGTATAGAAAAGCAGTGTTAGTATTTTGCAAATAAAACTTGATTAGCCCAATCCATGTATGCATTTTCAAATTTATTAAATTTAGTATTTACCATCTAGGTCCGGCTACCAAGAGAACTTACTTAGTGAGATAAAAGCGGGGATCATCGGTGGCTTCTTGGCAGCCTTTATAGGGACACCGTCAGATGTAAGACTCTCACGCATGTAAGGCATTATGTAAGGCTTATGTATGATTACTACTATATTCTAACTTAAGTAATAAAAAGTGCAATCATATTATTTTGTAGTCAGCTTCACACGAGGCAATGCATGAACAAAACAATCTTCGGTGCGGGGATACCACCCCAAAAGGCAGGCACTTCAGCACTAAAAATAAAAAAAAAATAATTGGTATTTTAGAAAAGGTTTGTGTAAAGAATTCTTGAATCTAGCAAATGAGTAGTGCTTAGGTAATATAACTCTTAATTCAATAGTAGGCTACATTGATTCTTGAATCACTGTGCTACTATCTTTGTCCATAGTCTATTACTATATTGACTTTTACAAGCCGAAGTAAGCATCACCCATATAGATTGCCAATATTTTTAATATATATAAAGAAAATTGAATGTAGTTTGCTTCAGTCTAACATTCTGTATTTTTCTCCCTTAGATTTTGTAAAGTTGATGTGCCATAAAAGATGATCTAGCTTACAAGTCTTTCCTTCAGTTTATTGGCTTCGTTAAAGAGGGTTTGCTTACCCTACTCAACAGAAATCAGTTTTGACTTCAGACGCCGGTGGCTCAATTACACTAAGTCCAATTTACAGCTCGAAGCAGCTTTATTATTTAAATGGGATTTTTACTTCTATCAATAATCCAAATGTTCTATATTTTACTGTACTTGCTCCCGTAAACGCCAAAATAATAGAGTCTTAGCAAAATGGGTGCTTGCAGGTCGCCCTAGTGCGAATGGCAGCAGACGGACGTCTACCCCCATCCAAGCGACGAAACTACAAGAACATATTTGATGCTTTGAGACGGATTGCTGCAGAAGAGGGTGGTCATGGAGTATTTTCTGGATTCATACCAGCTACACTCCGAACAATGATAACAAATACTGCTCAATTGGTCAGCTACAGTGAGGCCAAGAAATTTCTTCAGAGTAATGGTAAAAAGTGAATAGTGCGTCATCCATAACAATTTAAATTCAACCTTAACAAATTATTTTTGTTATTTTTATAACATAATTGGGTGACAATTTTGTAGAGAGTAAAATTTGTTTAATTTTCACAGGATACATGAAGGACGACATTAAGTGCCAACTAGTGAGCAGTCTTTTCTCTGGTTTTGTGTATACTATCGCAGTTTGTCCTCTGGATGTTGCAAGGACCAGGTGAGTTTTTGTCTGTCATAGTGTAGACAGTAAAGATTTTATTTTTCAACTCATTCATGACTAGTTTTGAACTATTAATAAAGTTATATTATCGTTATGTTCTGGGTAAAATCAATTCATATTACGGGTAAATGTTGGCGTTGCATATGGCCATTGCAGGGTAGCAGCTGAGCTCTAACCACTGCTGGCGTTTGCTTCCGCTCTCGGAGCCAACGACAGTAGAAATGCTACTACTAAACCAAATCTGTAACATTAGCCTAATTCACCATGTAACCTGATTGGATTTGGTCTCAAAACCACGACATTGCAGTTAAGTTTGGCAAGGATAACGTTACCTTTAATAGTATTATGGCAGTTAATCTTAATCACAGATTAATAGTCCAGTGCAATTACAGTTATACAGAGAGTCTGAAAATACATTATTGTTATTCTTATCAACTTGGGCTCAGTTCCGTTTCTTCTCTCCTTTCTTAACATACGTTTTGGATCAGGAGAAATGTTACAGTTCGGAAAGGAAGAAGTCGCTGGTCTTTTTTTAACACAAAGCTTCCGAACTCTCATGATAACATTACAATATTGTTGTTATGATTAAGGCAGTTGGCAAATGGTTCAATATTCTTATAAGTTTTTCTTATTGATTGATTTCGAGTGGTGAAACTATGATTTATTATTTTTAGGATGCAGTACAAGAGTACTGAAACAGAAAATCTGATGTATAACCACATTGGAGACGCCTTGGCAAAAACAGTCCAGAAGGAGGGCGTGACCGCCCTGTGGAAGGGATTTGTTCCTCTCTACACACGCTGCGCTCCGCACACACTACTCCTATTTTTACTCTCAGAACAGCTTACCTTCTCATATTCAAATTATATGTTTTTTAATTTGTAGTTGGTTTTCTTTGTGACATTGAAACTATCTAACCGATTCTTCAAGTTGACAGTTACCTTACTTATACCCGTTATCGTAGGATACACTGTTGAGTTAAGTTTTTCTAAAGCTTACCAAAATATGGAATAATGGAGGTTTTGTAAAAATCTAAATTTAAATGTTGTGTGCAAAATTTTAATTAACGACCTTTCAAGGGGGGTTTTAAGCCACCCTTTGAGTATTATCCAATGAGTATTATTTAATACCAATAATACGGGCAATCAAGATAGCTTACTTTACCTTGTATGACTAAAGAATAAACTGATGTAGAACCACTAAAAAATCACATGAGCTCTGAAAAGAATACCCTATACCTAGAGGCCACATCCTTTGGAAATGGATAAAAATAAACACTCAAATCTTCAAATGGACGTTTGTTACCAGGGGCCATTGATACCATGATTGATACAGTGCGCTCATATAAATTACTAAGGACAACGGACAACTTATTGTAAACCACTGTATAGCATCTTGTATACAGATCAATTATCTCAGTAGCAAAAATTAAGGGGGAAATATACTTTTGGTCTATAGAACTGCTCATCGACTATAAACAAATGAAAATATTAGCTGATTTGGGCTTAATTGTTTACATTGGTATGTCGACAACAGTATCCAAAAGTCAATTAATGATCATGGGGATGTTTCGGCAGCTCCTATTTTAGTTTGTGTCATTAAACAGCTGGTGATTGAGTTATAAACTAGGACAATGTATTTAAAATGTTTGTTTACTCTATACGATTGAATACAAGTTTAAAATTTAAAAAATTGTAATTTTGGTGAATTTTTGAGAAAACTATTCGATCAAATGAGTGAAAAAAAGGAATGTGCCAAGCTACGTTCGATTTGGAATTGCTGGTTTAAGTGGGTGAGTTACACGGGTTAGTATTTATTTATATACTGTAGTATAACCTAGAAGTTAGTTATTCTGTATATAGGCTATGTTCTTAGAATATAAATGACAAATTTATAAAAATTTATCACCTTCAGTTTTAATAGAGTAACTATATTTCATTCCAACAATAATCCCAACTACTTTTGAATTTTATATAATTTTTAGGATGGGAGCAACTTTGTTTGTGCAGCCGTTAGACTTGTTGAAAACTCGCATGCAGTTGAGTGGCGAGGGAGGAAATCAACGAGACCACAAGTCTTCTTTGCACGCTCTGAGAACCATCGTTAGACAAGAAGGTGTGCTCGGACTATACTCTGGGTTGACGGCCAATCTGTTCAGGCAGGCGACCTACACAACCTGCCGAATGGGGATATATCAAGTCACATTGGATAGCTTGAAAAAGTAAGAAAGATTGGAAGAGCATATTTTGCTGTAAAGTATCGTAAAACAACGGTTTAATATTCTCACAAAGTTTTAGATTTGATTTATTATTATTGGATAAAATGAATTTGTATTAATTTAATTTCCTTTCGTTAACGAACAGTATTTTTTGCATTCGATAGATACATTTTAATATTATATACTTACAAATATATGCAGACAGGGTTCTGTCTGCAGTTTTAAGGAGCGTCTCTATGGGGTTTGGTTTGGTATTCATGGTTGGTTCCTAAAATGAATTTGGTTTGGTTTTGAAATTAGTTGTCATGTGGCGCTGGAAAGTGATTGGGTCTAAGGAACGATTTCACGTTAATGTCTTTGAGCCCAAATATAATTAGGGATACCATGATTGACGGATCGTGTTAATAATCGGTTGCATTCAGAATGGAGCAAATAAAAGAATAATCGCCTTTGTTGTCATTTAACACTTCCAACAAGTTATAAATTAGGCCTAATTTAATCACTCTGCAAATTAATCACCGTGAAATGTATGCTTTAGGTATGGTTACCAAGAAAATCTGCCTACTCAGATAGTAGCTGGGCTCGTCGGTGGCTTTGCAGCTGCCTTTGTAGCCACACCATCAGATGTAAGCCATTTCAGCAAGTAAGATTTGTTTTCATTAAATAATATACACTACTAGTCTTTTTGTAAAATTTTATAGATTTAAGCATATCTACTTTATATGTATACTCAGCTATAATTTAAACTTCAAACAGGTGGAGGCAGTGGTGAATCTTTCGGATGCGTTGCAGCAATCCATCTCTCGAAGCACAAGATTCGATTTTACGCTAAAAGGAAAAGCATACATTAAACGCTTGGATTTGATAGATTAAACAGTAACTCAGAGGTTGTGTTTAAGGTGGCTCTAGTACGAATGACAGCCGATGGGCGCCTACCCGCATATGAACGGCGGAATTACAAGAATATATTCGATGCTTTGAGACGAATTGCCCTAGAGGAGGGTAGGAAGGGTGTGTTTGCTGGACTTCAACCTACAATTCTTCGGGCAATGGTGGCAAACACGGCACAACTAGTTAGTTACAGTCAGGCAAAACAGATTCTCCTAAGTAATGGTAAGGCTTGACTCTAGTGATTTGTGAAGTGGTGTGGTATGGTAAGTGTGTTTACGGGAATGTTGCTGAAAGTCAACAGTCCCGGAAGATCAAATAATTTATACCTGTGCCGCTAGGTCAAAAACTACAATGTTTGCAGTGTCTGTAGATCAAAAGTCCCAGTAAGTCAAATAGTACAGTCCGAGCTAAAAACGTGGTCTATGTTAAAGCAATTGACTTATTGGGAATTTGACCTAATGCAACAGCAGTTTTAATATAACGAAATACGGTAAAATACAAGTTCAGTTTCGCTGAGTCAACAGTGCCGGAAGATCAAAAGCAATAAAAGTGAACGTCGATTCAGTGTAAAGTAGACCTCCTGCAACGCTTACTACACCAACAAAACTCGCTTTTAGTTACTTCGTGTTTTGTCATAATTAGAATAGAGCTAAAATTATCATATTTGGTACATAGCTTATCTATTAATGCTTCTTGCCAACTGTTTGGTCAACACTGTAAATAGGGATAGTTTATGTAAAAAGCCTTTCGTCAAAATTTGTGGCATGAAATACACGCAAGGACGATCTGAAAATTTCTGGTTATTATATACGTTTGTAAAAGAAGATCCATTTAATTTTAGAAATATTTTATGAGTTATTATGTAGTCTAAACATAAACTGTGTAAATGTATTACGCCTCGGAAGGTTTGAAACCTGTCCAAACTATCATATATATTATTAAAACTAAATGGGGTTTTTTCACATTCTGAATCAAACCAGTCGACGGACTTTCATTATTTTTGTGTTGAAAGAAAGATAATTTTGAGAACTAGGGAATGTCAAAGCCATAATTATAATTAAGGGTCCCAGTTTTTTTAGGAATTAAGTTTTAATTTTTAAAAAGTCTAGCAGCCGACGCTAACCTTCTAAGCCAGCTTTTAGTACAATATAATTTGCTTAAAATAACAGCTGTAAACATTCAGCATTTGTGACACAAATTCAGCATTTGGAAACAAATTTAAAGACATATTTAGAGTTGACTTATTTATACTATGTGTAATGCTGACCATTGATGCATTCAATTCTTAGGTATGAGGATGGCAGATTAATTAAATTTGCATAGTAAAATAGTAGGATGTTCAAATTATTTTTTAAAGTAATCTTTGTAACCATCGATTTGTTTTAGTCCCATATAATTTGTTTTAACTAACAGCTGGTTGAATGTAATATTGTTCCATATAACTATTAGGTTTTTGGCGAATTTCCCATATAGGGAATAAGCTATTACCGTAGTACTTATGGTAACACCTGGACCCGGGACAGATTTAATTTTTCGTTTTGAGGTCCCAAGAGGCCAAAAACACCATCCGTTCTAATTCATATATACAAGGTGATCAACTCAAGGAGGCCCACCATTGGGAAATTGGAAACGGTAAGAATTAGAGAAACCATTAAATGCCCCACATTCCTTTATTTTTTATGGCAGTTAAAAATATGATTTTAGTTTTTTTATCATGTTATCGGATAGAATATGCAATTTAACAACTTTTTTAGCCTTGACACTTTTTCGATAAACCCACTCGTTTAGGAGTACAGCCTATGGAAAAATTACTTCCGGTGTACATTTTACATCATGTAGCTCCTAAACGAGTAAGTTTAGAGCAAAATTGCAAAAAGTAAATTAGTCATAGAATTGCATCTACATTCCATAAAGACTATAAAATAAACAGTTTCCACTTTTCAAGTTTGCCGCCATTTTTTAATTAATATAATTCATATTTTTAATGAATTTTATGGTCTTTTTGGAATGTGGATGCAATTGTAAGACTTTTTTACTCTTCACATTTTGCTATAAACTTACTTGTTTAGGAGCTACATGATGTAATATGTACACCGGAAGTCATTTTTCCATAGGCTGTAACTCCTAAACGAGTGGGTTTATCGAAAAAGTGTCAAGGATAAAAAAGTTTTAAAATTGCCTATTATGTCCGAAAATATGATAAAATATAGGGTGTTCGATAAGAAATTTCAAATTTGGCCACCATTTTGGAAAATGGCGGCTGAATTTCAAAAAACTAAAAGCATTTTTTTAACTGCCACAAAAAGTAAAGGTATGTCTTCCATTTTAAGTTTTCTCTAATTCTTACCGTTTCCGATATCCCAATGGTGGCCTCCTTGAGTTGATCACCCTGTATAGCCTATATTTATTTATTTATATATTTTTCCCGGGGGGAACCCCAGGACCCCGCTCCTTTTTGGGGGGTATTCCATACCCCCCAGGCCCCCGGTGACCCCCCCAAAATATATGTCTAGGACCGCCCTTGTCTTCTTTACCTATAAAACACATGGGATACAGCCTTTCTTCACTGATCACGTAATGCGTGATTTTCTATAAAGTCTTGGAAAAATAAAAGGTAAAATACATAGAATAAAGGTGTACTGTATGTGGTTTACACACAAATATTCATCAAACTGTGTGATATTTTGTTATTGCAATGAACAATTTGGGAGTATCGTATTGTTTAAGTCGATGGAAAATCTCTGTTGATTCTGTTTTACAAGCAAACCAAAAAGATACAGTAGTCACCACTCTATGCGACATATTCTAACCAGAAAATTGTAATTGTATGATTATATAAGCATTGGTAGGATTGCAAAGTACTACACAAACATTATTTCAAGGGTAATAACAGTCACAATTTCCGCCGACTTAAAGAGTCAACTAAAATATTATACTAATGGACACAACTAAATGGAACAACTAATGGAACAACTCACGATGTACATATAACAGTTCGATATAAGCATTGAGTATACACGTCAGTGGATACGTGTATACCCAATGATATAAGCAACGGTTCTTGCAATTTATTGCTTATTGTTTTTTAGAGTTGTTTTCGGACTTACTCACACTCGTATAAGGTTGTCCACGTTTGTCATTGATAATGTAGCCATGTTACATGGTTACACCCGTTGTCAAGAATATGTTTACAAATTTTTCGTCTGTTTTTGAATAGCGATACATTTTTTCACATACTTAAGAACCACCTGATTTCGTGCATTACATGTTCGTCTCATTGTTTGGTAAAATGGATTAAATTATCCAGCAAACCCAAATTGAAATAGTAAATATAGTATTTCAAACAAATCAGTAACATGTTAATAATGTAACCTACATTATTTCCTTGAACTGCATAACAGCAATTAATTGGGCTGATCATAATATAAAAAAATCAATATGTTCTTCATAGGCATAACATGGGTTCATAACATGAGCCGCTGGGGCTGAGCCCAAGGGATTTAAAAATGTAAGGTTGGTTTGCTAATGTACGTGACACGCTCTTTCTTTGAGACATGAATGGTCAAAATCGCCTAAGAAATGCGGAGGAGTTCAACGGAAAAATTTCGTGTTGGCGTTATACAGTATAGTTGAAAAGTCCTGGATTTGCTATATTTTTTTAACAATAGATAAAGTAGTGAGACTTGGTATATCAATAATAGCCATAAACATCTACTGTCTTGAGCTATTATCACTTTTTTATCCCTTAAGGGGGATGGACCACAAAGGCTAAGACAAAATTCTTATATAATTTTAATACTATTTTACCTGTTTTTGAAATGGCGACCATACAAATGTATGCATTTTAAGCCAAGTATGAATGGAGTTGAGTGTGTGATGAATGGAGCGATCTTGTTGTCCTGTTAGTGACTAAGGCCGACGTAATCCTTAGACACAGCTTTTAATTAATAGTCCATACAGTCAATTAATAACAGCAGAGGTCAAGTTTGGTAGGTATCAAATTAAAGGTTTTATTTATAAAAATACACGAGCTGTTGGCCCGTCCTACGTACGGAAAACGAGTAGTAAATTAAAACTGAATATGATTCAGAACAGCTAGTTTACAACTTGGTGGCCGATTCACACACACTGGCTTTGAGTATAGTAGCTACATACCACCTTCCACTGCATAGGCCTACTATCACTTACCGTACCTTATTTTACCACCTTGGCCACTGAAACCTCTAAAATGATCCTGGCCTCCAGTTCTCTTTAATCCCCTGCCATTTCTGGATGACAGGAAGATACCAGTCTGAAGATATCTTTCATTACTTGGTCTTCCAAGTGGTCGTCTACCTTGTAGTACTCCTTGGAATGCACTTTTAAAAGTTGAAGTATCTTCTCTCCGCCACGCAAAGCCTGCCCAGCCCATCCGAGATCCGAGAGCCTTTTGGTCTACTTTTGGAATGTACCCCTTTATCAAGTTTCAGAATCATACAGTACTACTGGGATAGTTATGATATGGTATGAATCGATTTTGGTTTCTACTGACACCCTGCAGCTTACTGGTCGGTTTTCTGGAGACCTACTACAACGGTTGATATTTTCATTACGAATAAAATGTGTACTGTATGCAGTCATACTTATATACAAACATCTAGAAAAAAATGTATCAACACGTAAACCACTTATATCCTAAAGGATTAAGCACTTATACTTAGACGGATTGCATTATTTATGACAAAACTTGATTATACGTTTAAAATGTTTAGTTCAAAATTACACAATCTCCTGATAACATAGATCTTTTACGGTAGAAAATAAACTGCATTTTAAAGTAAAATAGTGTGTAGGCAAACTCTGACGATCAATATTTTTGTATACAAACAACTTGTAACATAAGCATTTCAATGACAGTTAGAAACCAGCTGTTAGTTAAACCACCACTAAATTAAACGACTTTAACTCGTCCGTCGGCTGCTAGACTTTTTGAAAATTAAAACTTAATTTCTAAAAAACTGAAACCCTAAACTAAAATTATGGCTTCGACATTCCCTAGTTCTCAAAATGATCTTTCTTTCAACACAAAAATCATAAAAATCCGTCAAGTGGTTGATTCAGAATCGTGAAATAAAAAAACCCTGTTTCGTTTTAATATATAAGGATTGCCGCAAACCCAAACTCAAACGATGATGATGATAATAATGTTAATGATCTAGCTAAAACGTATCGTTTGAAATTTAACAGCTGAAAATAAGTGAAATAGAAAAGGTTTTGGTTAAATCCATCAAATTTTAATTTGACACTAGTAATTACTAGTGCACTTGTTGCTATCTCCCCCCTTCGGTTTCATATATTCCACTCAATTAGTTCAAACTTAGGAGGAATAAACATTAATGTTAATTAGTGTTAAATCCTCCTAGGTTCAAACTTGAAACACCTAGATCGAAACTCGCCTGTCGTTATTTTAACATCGCCTTATTTTTTGTACTATATTTTTCTAAAAAGAAAGATTATATTGATTTACTTTGGATTTTAAAAATGTGAACGTCTTATTTTATTAAAGATTTATGGTGATACGTAAATATTGTGGTGTAGTAAACTATATTATATTGTAGTTAAGTGTTAAATTTTGAAATTTTAGAGTGAATCGTTTGAGATGAATCTTTTTTTATAACATGGGTCTCTCACCTTAACATACATACCAAGTTTCATAAACATCGGTTGGAAAAGTGTAAAGATAGGCTAAATATTTGTATGTAAAAAATACAAAATGGCGGATATCTGGTTAACGAAACGATTTTGGAAAATGTTATCCTTCATTTTCTGTTTATTTTGACCCAAGGAATTACTAGGTTAAGTATCTCTCCGCTTATTTTTAACACCCTGTTTATGATGTATTCTTATTAATATAAGTGAAAAATGTAAGCTGGTAATACAGAAAGATGTTTTATAAATAATATGAATGTACTGGTGATCTGTATATTCATCTTTTTCTTGTTCTTAGAACTGTAAATTAAAAGTCCACTCAGCAGTCGCATCGTACGATGTAGTTCTTTCCATGTGTTGCGAAATGTTAAATTTGCCGTCCTCTTCAACCCAAGTTATCTATTGAACCACTGATTGTAAAAAATTCAAAAAAATATATTTTACGCATCACACTTTTAGCTACAACTTTGCCACAGACAAAACCTCCTTAACCCAAAAACAAAAAATAAATCTCGCATGCTAACTTTTTCATGCTAGAAATCACGATTTAAAAATATTTCACCATACATATTAATTTTTATTAATTAGATCGGTAAATAGTTTAAAGTTCCAACAAAATAGTCATCGAGTAGGACTAACCAAGAAGCTCTGTGCCAATTTTCAAAATTTTAGCACAACTTTAAGTACACCAAAACACGAAATTATTGAAGTCATGCGTCGAGAGGACTATCGCTGTTTTTAACAGATTATACTTTTGACCTTCCGGCACTGTTGACTCAGCGAAACTGAACTTATATTTTATCTTATTTCGTTATATTAAAACTGCTGTTGCATTAGGTCAAATTCCCAATAAGTCAATTGCTTTAACATAAACCACGTTTTTAGTTCGGACTGTACTATTTGACTTACTGGGATTTTTGATCTACAGACACTGCAAACATTGTAGTTTTTGACCTAGCGGCACAGGTATAAATTATTTGACCTTCCGGGACTGTTGACTTTCTGCAACGCGTCCGTGTTTACTTGTTAGAACACAGACTATTCTATACTTAGAAAAGTTGTATGCTGATAGCCTTGCGTTTCACTCATATTTAATTGGCAATATTTACAGATTCGTGGACACTGTGCTAATCTTCAGTCATCTTTTTGGATTTGGAAGGGCTCAAAGCAGTGAAGCAGTTATGCCTAGCTAGAACGATATAAGAATTGTGATATCACTCTATTTCGTTCCATGATTTTGTGGGGTGTTGAATTGGGAGATTGTGTTTATTGATAAAACCACATAGGCCTAATAACAAAACCCCAGATACAGTCGTATTTATCATAAATTAGTCCAAAAATAATTTCCTAAGATAGACAAGTAAAGATTCTTACTTTTTAAATTTGTTTATTAATTAAAACATTTGAACTCTTATGTAGCATTACTGACTGAATTCGTTCTCAGGGTACTTCGGAGACAATATCAAGTGCCATTTTGTGAGCAGCCTTTTTTCGGGCCTTGTATATGCAACCACAACATGTCCTTTGGACGTCGCAAAGACCAGGTGAGCATGCAGCAACTAAGCATCTGTCTTTGATACCAAAACATCATAATAATTACTGTACTAGGTACAGAAAGCTGTCAATGCAGCAAAGCTTCTCTTGTTCGTCAACAAAGGTTCTGGGGGACATGTGTATTTTATATTCCATTCAAATTATATTTGCAGACAATAAGAAGAACGAAAAAAGTATTTGCTTCATTTTAACGGGGGAGGTCTCCACAATGGACTAAATATTACAACTACAAGTATTTCCATGTTCCATCGCATGACTTTCATCTGGAAGTATCTATAGCACCTTCGGCCCCGCAATATTTCACCATACATTCTACAAGTTAAGTTGAGTTCGTGGATAGGCTTTGACCATCACGTAGGTTCTGACAAACACTGTAGTAGTCATCCAAATACCATACAATCACATGTCCGTTGAATGATGTAAATCTGTGGCAAAATAAGGTTTTTTCATAACATAATGATAAATTTCTGTCTGCTTTTCCATGTTCTCAGGATGCAGTATATGCAGACAACGACGGGAGATGTGATGTATAACAACATAGGAGACGCATTGGCTAAAACAGTCCAGAAAGAGGGTGTGACCGCCCTGTGGAAGGGGTTCGGTCCTCTCTACACACGCTGCGCACCCCACACTGTCCTGCTCTTGATATTCTCCGAACAGCTTACCTCTTTATACTCTCACCACATTGTTGACAATAATTAAAACTATCTGTATCAGTGTACTGTACTCCTAACTCCTGCTTTCCAAAACTTATGTAATGTGCACATTATGTCCAAATTATTTATGGAGTGCAAATGAATTAAAAATACATAAATAGAAACCAACAAGGACGGTATATTTTGTATTTATTTTGGTAATAGGGAAAACAAAATATATTGCAGTATTTAAAATACCAGTAATCTAAGAGAGATTTTAATTCGGTTTGTATTCTTTTAATCCAACAAAATGTCAAAGATTACATGTTGCACAATTTTAATGAAGACGATAAAACACATAAACTAAAGACATCCGTTTGTGCATTACTGTTAAGTCGGTATGAGCTCAAAAACTACGGATCGCGAATTTTCTACAGAAATTTAACATTGTTGTTTTTAGTTGTAATGGCTTTGAAGTTGAATTAGTAAAAAATAAGTACCGGTAAGTAAAAGCATGTAAAAGTCTACAACAAAAACACCCCCTTAATAAACCAGACAGAAGCATACGGAAGCATACCTTACGAATATCTTCAGATTATCTATAGTCAATTAATTTAAATCCATAAAGGTTGGATTTTCTTGTTCTTTTATCTAAAGTGTAGTCTACATAATTTAACAACTGTTCGTCGTGTTTGTTTTGATTTTAATTTTACAAAAACAAATAACTAATAATAATTTTGTTTGTTTGGATTTCTATTTAAGTTTAAATTTAATACTTTTAATTTCTTAAGTTATGTAATGACCCTAAAATGGAATGTATTGAGAGTAATTAAATATGTCAAGTAAGAGAAAGAAGCTGGTGCCGGGTTATGTGAGATTTCCCATAGCAGGTATTAGTGGGTGAGTTAGCTTTGAGTAAATTACTAATTCCCCTCAATATAAAACCAATAATGGCACTGTAGATATGAATATGATATTTAAGGAAAGGGATACCCCACATTGAATTATGGTTAAGCTGCATAAAAGTGTTCAGTGATGACTGGCTGATAATTTGCATCATTGCATTATTCACTGGTAATTCGTTCAAACAAATGACTAACCAAAGATTGTTCAAGCAATATACCATGTACTAGTGTGAAACTAGTTATATATGTACAGTAAAAAAATATTTGAATGATGCAAAAGTAAATAAACAACAGATGAACACTAAGATAACAAAACATATTTAAAATTAATTGTTCAAATGTGTAATTGAATTGGTTAATAATATGACTAATTGCATTAAACCGCAAAACTTGATGGATGCTTATTATACTTTCTATTGTAAGGATGGGAGCTACACTGTTCGTGCATCCTCTAGACCTTGTAAGATTTCGAATGCAGCTGAGCGGAGAAGGAGGGCTCGCTAAAGACCACAGAACATGGCTTCACGCGTTTACATCTGTGATAAAAAACGAAGGAACTTTTCGGCTGTATGCCGGAATTTCTGCTAACATCCTTCACCAAGCTGTCTATACTACAATTCGCATGGGGTCCTTCCAGGCAATACTAGATCAGCTTAGAAAGTAAGTGTCGCTTGAGTAACATCATGTTCATTTAGTTTTCTTTAGCATGGAGGTCAAGTTTTTTTCACTTGATTTTACAGACCAACCTTAAAGTCATGAAGCCTCAAGAGGCCAAGTTGTTTTGACGTTAAGACAGTGTTTATTGATTGTAGTGACACTGTTAAAAGTATATATACCTAATTTCCTTATCTTAGGGTAAAATTTAACTGGAAAATAGGTCATATGCAGAGAGCATAGAGATAATAGCTATAGGCATTTCAAACTGGTATCGACAGTATAGTACCACAGTTAATAGAGACCGGTCCTTTGTAATTTTTAAGTTCTGTATATTTGATATTTTTAAGGCTGTTTAGAAAATCAAAACGGACGAAACACGAATTGTTACATACAATTAATCAGTTAGTTAGAGGACTAAAGACATGCACATGCAATATACAAATGCAATACTAAATAGCTAAACTTTCTCATTTAAGTTTAATTATTTGCCCATTTACCTTACCTTACCTAGCTGGCCACTCAAACCTAAGCAGGTTTTTGGCCTCTCCAACAGCTTTGCGCCATCTTTCTCGGTCCTTCATCATCTCCTCTGTAACGGACATCCTTCTCATATCCCTCCGGACTTGGTCCCACCATCGCAGCCTTGGGCGTCCTAAAGGTCTTCTTCCTACAGGTACAGCATCCGTCACTGTTCTCAAGACTGACTCTTCAGGTCTCCTGTAGACATGTCCTGCCCATCGAAATCTTTGGCTTTTAATTAATGCAGTAATATCCGGATCTTTGTAGACCTCACGTAATTCTTTATTTGTTCTAATCCTCCAAATTCCTTCTTCTTCAATTGGGCCATATACACGTCTGAGAATTTTGTTTTCGAAAATTATTAGCTTCTTTTCATCTTGTTTGGTTAGTACCCACGTTTCAGATCCGTAGGTAACTATAGGCAGTATAATAGTCTTATAGACTTTTAATTTGGTTTTTCTGGATAAAAGTTTACTTTTCAATAGGTTTTGCAAGGACCAGTAACATCTGTTACCACTGAGCAGTCGTGATCTAATTTCAGTTTCTTCTGTGTTATATTGGTCAATAATTATTCCTAGATACTTAAATTCTGTACATCTTTGGAAGGAGTAGGATTCTACTGTCAGAGGAAGATGTGTTTGTGGTGGATTTCGTCCTACTATTAGATACTTGGTTTTATTTTCATTTATTGTTAAGCCTATTTCTTTTGCTTTCCTTATAAGTGTTCCTGCTAAAACTTTTAAATCACTTTCATTTTCCGCCATGAGAGCAATGTCATCAGCATACATATTTGCATAAATATATAAATATTTGCCCATTTAAATAATTAAAATCTTAACAGGTCCGGACATGATAGTCTTCCATACCAAGTACCAGCTGCGATGGCCGGAGGATTCTTTGCAGGCTTTCTGGCGACTCCAGCCGAAGTAAGGAGATCACACATGTAAGATTCTCTAGTTCTATAAACAATATAAACAAATGAATTTGTAATTAAGCCTAAAGTAAATAACTGTTGCATTTCTTAACACGGACCTTTGTTATTTTACAGGTAGCTCTTGTAAGAATGACTGGGGACGGGAGATTGCCAACTTCGGAGAGAAGGGGTTATAAACACGTCTTTGACGCTCTTCGACGCATTTCCAACGAGGAGGGAACTAAAGGTCTTTACACGGGTTTGAGACCAACGGTACTAAGAGCGATGATAGCTAATGTTGCGCAGCTTGTTAGCTACACTCAGGCAAAAGAGTTCCTGATAAATAAAGGTAACTTGCCAAAACAGTAATTCATACGCCCATTTAATCTATTGGATTCATAAATAATATTGTTAGATGATCTAGGAAAATAGTGCACTAATTTGGGCCATCACTTACTACTACCATTGACTATTGGATATTCAAAGCTACAATTTTATTGAAATAAAGCTATTTACTTCAAGATTAGTTAAGTGTAAAAAAAATTTTGATGTGTGATTTCGAGTTGGTCACTTTTGAGTGAAAATCCTTTCAATGCTATTTCCGACTTCTTTTCAGACAACATGGAACTACAATGACATGGACTTAACGATGAGTACTATGAATTTAGAATATATACTTCATTCTTATCATATTATCTATGCCTGATATATAATTTTTTACGTACTGCCACGCTTGTGATTGTGACCGGGGGCGTAACCGGGATCGATTTAAAGTAATAAGAATACTTTAGTGAGAGGTAAAAGAATGTTTAATCATTATTCAAATAAAGTGGATGGACAATATGATAAAGATAATAATAAAGACAATAATAAAAATGGATGATAAAATAATTACAGGCTTCTTTTATTTAAGTAGGCCTAAGCAAATGAAATTTATATATAAAACTCTAATAATTATAATTCTTTTTGACACGTTAATATATTCAAACAGGAATTTAATAGTCACTATATTTATTCACACAAATTATAAATGAAATCAATTATTATAAAATTGATTACGATTAGTATCAATCAATCACTGACTTTAAAAGGTTAAGTTAGCCTGGACAATCACAAAAATTATAAAGTTAAATATTAATAAAGTAATCGCCTTACCAAAAACCCGGAGACCGGCGAAGTGTCCCCTTCGACAGTCTGGGGCCAAGTCTTCCTTTCGGTCAACTCCGACCTCAGTCTCTCCAAAGTACAATTGCTAAGTCTACGGTTTTTGTGGGTCGGTCGATTGAGCAAGCTACGTGTCATCAAGAATTCTGTCTACTAAATGCCAATGTTCTGACACTGGTATATGCATTGTGAAATCCATTTACCAGGTCTTTTACTTTTGAAATATAATCCCAAAATTTAGAAAATAATTTTTGGTGACTACCCGTCACAGTACTCGTATGTGTGCTTTATCGTACAGAAACTGTCAATTTATGTTCTACTCCCCTGTACTACTGGAGAATGAAGATTCAATAAGTATAATTATTATAAGGCTAAGCCACCATGATCTCATTGTTTCCCTTACACAAAAAATCTACTGCCCTTCTGAGACAATAAATAATTCTGAGATCTATTTTTGTACATTTAATATGATGAACCACATATTATGTTTGATTTAGGATACATGGAAAATAACACGAAATGTCACATAGTTAGCAGCATTGTCTCTGGATTCATGTTCGCATTTGCAACTTGTCCGATCGATGTACTAAAAACAAGGTTGGTAGAACATTTTATTTAGATTTTATTCATTTATTTAAATATTTATGTGGTATACATATCTCTTGAATTTTGAATGTTAGTTGGCACATACAGTAAAGGAAAAATCTTTGTTTTATATTTTCACTTTTTATTTGAGGAGATTTTCACGATATAGGTGTTAATTTGTTTTAGGATACAGTTTATGGAGTCTAAGACAACTACTCCCTTGTATTCTGGTGTTTTGGATGCGTTGAGCAAGACCGTACACAAGGAGGGAGTGCCAGCCCTATGGAAGGGGTTCATGCCGTTGTACGCTAGATGCGCCCCTCACACAATCCTATTGTTTTTATTTTCAGAGAATTTGACATATCTATACAGAAAATAC